CCGGGCGCTTTGCCCCCCACGCAGCTGCGTTGCCCGCCCCAGCGTCAACGTGGGCTCATGCACCCGGGCTGGGCTGGCTCTGCAGCCCTAGCAGGCACCCCAGGCAGAAACACCTGCGCCTGCCCCGCGAACATGCACAGGGAGCCCGTCGGCCGGGGCCACGTTCCCAGTCAGCATCGCACCGAGCGCCGCACCTCCTGCCGCCCGGCTGACAACCGGAGTGTGAGTGAGACACGAGGAGTCGTGCTCCCGCTCCGCTCCGCGCCGACCAAGCCTCAGCTGGAGTCTTGGGTCCAGTTCCGGGCGCCGCGTTGCAGGCACAATGTGGGAAAATTGGAGACGGTCCAAAGAAGAGCAACAGGAATGACGGAGGGTCTAGAGAACAGGAAGGCTGAAGGAATTGGGCGAGTTTAGTCTGGAGAAGAGCAGACCGAGGGCGACATGAGAGCGGGTTTCCAGTCCCTACAAGGGTGTCACAAGGAGGAGGGAGAAAAATTGTTCATCTTGGCCTCTGAGGACAGGACAAGCAGCAAGGGGCTGAAACTGCAGCAGGGGAGGTTGAGGTTGGACATTAGGGAAAACTTCCTACCTGTCAGGGTGGTTAAACACTGGAATACATTGCCTAGGGCAGGGGTGGGCAATAATTTTGGGTGGGGGGACTCTCCAAGACTTTGCAAAGTGGTCGAGGGCCGCACTTTTCCGTGGAGGGAGTGTGGGGTCTAAGATGGAGGCTGGGTGCAGAAGGGCGCACAGGGTAAGGGATTGGGGTGCGGGAGACGGTGTGGGGTCTGAGAGGGTGTTTGGGTGGAGGAGGGGGTTGTGACCTGGGGCAGGGGATTGGGGTGTAGGGTTAGAGAGGGGGTGTGGGTGCAGGAGAGGGTTCTGGCCTGGGGGAGGGGTGCAGGTCTGGGAGGGAGCTGCCCCTGGGGCTGGGGGTGCAGCGGGTTTGGAGGGTGATCCGGGGGCAGGAGTTGGGGTGGAGGGGAGGGTTCTGGCGTGGGGGAGGGGTGCAGGTCTGGGAGGGAGTTGCCCCCGGGGCAGCAGGACTTGGGGTGGAGCAGCTGGTCCTGGCCTGGGGGAGGGGTGCAGGTCTGGGAGGGAGCTGCCCCTGGGGCTGGGGGTGCAGCGGGTTTGGAGGGTGATCCGGGGGCAGGAGTTGGGGTGCAGGAGAGGGTTCTGGCCTGGGGGAGGGGTGCAGGTCTGGGAGGGAGCTGCCCCTGGGGCTGGGGGTGCAGCGGGTTTGGAGGGTGATCCGGGGGCAGGAGTTGGGGTGCAGGAGAGGGTTCTGGCGTGGGGGAGGGGTGCAGGTCTGGGAGGGAGTTGCCCCCGGGGCAGGGGGTGCAGTGGGTTTGGATGGTGATCTGGGGGAGGGGCTTGGGGTGCAGGAGGGGGTTCTGGGC